ACAGACACACTAACAATTAGATGTACACACAGACACACAATTCATGCTGGTTCTGCACAAATACACATTAATATTTAAATGTACACACAGACCCACTAACAATTAGATCTACACACAGACACACTAACAATTAGATCTACACACAGACACACTATCATTTGGTTCTAAACAAAAACACACACTAATATTTAGATGTTCACAAAGACACAATAACAATTAGATGTACACAAAGACACAATAACAATTAGATGTACACACAGACACACTAACATTTGGTTCTAAACAAAGACACACACTAACATTTAGATGTACACAAAGACACATTATTATTTAGATGTACACACAGACACACTAACAATTAGATGTACACACAGACACACTAACATTTGGTTCTAAACAAAGACACACACTAATATTTAGATGTACACAAAGACACACTAACATTTAGATGAACACACACACACTAACATTTAGATGTACACACAGACACACTATCATTTGGTTCTAAACAAAGACACGCACTAATATTTAGATGTACACTAAGACACAATAACAATTAGATGTACACAAAGACACAATAACAATTAGATGTACACACAGACACACTAACAATTAGATGTACACACAGACACACTAACATTTGGTTCTAAACAAAGACACACACTAACATTTAGATGTACACAAAGACACATTAATATTTAGATGTACACAAAGACACAATAACAATTAGATCTACACACAGACACACTAACAATTAGATCTACACACAGACACACTAACAATTAGATGTACACCCAGACACATCCTGATGATCCTCCTCACGTCTCTTCTCCTTGTCTGCAGACCAACAGGACGTCATCAGGACGCCACGTCACCGGGACGCCATCAGGACACCACGTCATCGGGACGCCATCAGGACGCCATCAGGACGCCATCAGGACGCCATCAGGACGCCGCGTCAACCCCTCAGGAGCAAATCCAGATCTACTCATGACACACACACACACACACAGATGTACTCACAGACACACTAACATTTGGTTCTAAACAAAGACACACACTAACATTTAGATGTACACAAAGACACATTAATATTTAGATATATACACAGACACACTAACATTTTAGATGTACACACAGACACACTAAGAATTAGATGTACACACAGACACACTAACATTTGGTTCTAAACAAAGACAAACACTAACATTTAGATCTACAGACAGACACACTAACAATTAGATGTACACACAGACACATCCTGATGATCCTCCTCACGTCTCTTCTCCTTGTCTGCAGACCAACAGGACGCCATCAGAACGCCACGTCACCGGGACGCCATCAGGACGCCGCGTCAAGCCCTCAGGAGCAAATCCAGATCTACTCATGACACACACACACACACAGATATTATTATATTATTTAATATTATTATTATTGTTAAATATGTCGTCTGTTTATTATTTTAACAATGAAAATACATTTTAATAAAAATAAAACCAAATTAATCCGTCTTGTTTTATTCAGACCAAAGAGGATCACATGTTCTTTATTACTCGTTGACTTGAATGAAGTGAAACAACAATGATCTTGAGTTAATGAGCGTTTGTGTATTTAATGACACACAAAGGTTTCAGTCGACATTTTAAGCCTGATTTCAATTGTTGACTCACTTCCTCCTGTAATCAGACATCAGGCGGAAGAAGAAGAGAATATTTAGTCAATTAACATGTTTCCGATATGGAACATTTTGATTAAAACATGAATGCTTCTAAAAAATGAAGTCAGGCAACTCAAAGCACAAACAAGTTCAATTCTCTACAAATAAAGCAAATTCAAAGTTCATCGGGACGTGTGAGCGTCTCTAATGACGCAGTCAAGTGCAACTCCAGAGTTACGAATGTCTGTTCGTTCTCTCTGCTGCTGGGTGACAGACGACATCTTCTCTCTCACGCTGTCAATCAGAAACTCAATGAACCGCCACGCTGCAGCATGCGAGCTGCAGCCCTTCAACATTCCTATAGTTTAGATAGATAAATATGATAAAAAACGGATCAGACAAATGTGTGTTAACTGCTCCCAAAATGACAAATTCTAAATATTCTAATAGGATAATTTACTCACTCCAATGTTAATGGTAACTTGATCCCAACAATCTGTAGTAACTAAAATCAGCCAATGAATCAGAAGGTTTGCTCTCGGGGTTGATGTTCAAGACAATCGTTAACACATCTAGTTGTCCTTTTTTTATTTGTTATGTTCTATTACTAAATACTAAATTCATGTATTAATTAATATGTTTTACCGTTGAGGGGGTATGAAGTTAAATGGTTAGTCACCATACAAGTAAAAATGATTATATAGTGATAAACTATATAATATAACTAAACGTAATTTACATGTCTAAGTATACTATGAGAGAAAGTAGTAAGACTTGGTCGTGCGATGCTGGGGCGACGATGAAAGAGCTTTTATTGCACTATTCAGAGGTGTATGCAGGAAGTCTTATTGTGAAAGGCCGGATGACAAGTCAAACTCCGTTACCAGGCAAAACCTTTTTCTTCTTCTCATTTTACATTTTCCGCTCTTGTTTATTTCACATCAGAGCGGAAGAACAAAATTATGTATTAGCAGTAAATATAAAATTTGCTCAGTTTAATTAACAAATGCCAGTTTGTACCTCCTGTTTTTTTTTACAATGAACAAAAATACAACCCCCCCGTGGGCAGAGGCTGTTTGTGTCGTGTGCTCTGTTTGATCAATATATTCATGTACCCAATGATACTTGTCACTGTATGCGCTGCGTCCAAATGGTAATGTGTAACAACACAATATTTTACCTGCAAGTGGAGAATGATTGTGGTGACTCACTGTATATTGTGGTTTCAAACTGTGATGAAATACGATTTATAATTTTATCACATTCTTAAATTGTATTTCTAAACCCTTTATTGTATTGCTATTCATTACATTACATTACATGTCATTTAGCAGACGCTTTTATCCAAAGCGACTTACATTACACCTTAAACCCATGGCTTTTACACATCTTTGCCCTTTAGGGGTTAGGTGTCTTGCTCAGGGACACTTCGACATGGAACATGGGTTAGCCTGGAATCGAACCACCAACCTTCTGCTTCCCAGCACACCTTCTCTAACCCCCTGCGCCACGACGACCCGTGATTTTCCCTCAGGCTACTCTTTAACTTCAAAATATTCACCAGAAAAAGTCTGATTCGTACTTTTATTGATGCTTTTTGAACATTGTTCCAAAGCTATTTTGAAAGTACTCACCGTAAATGGTGGTGGGCTGTCGCTTCTGTACCATATAATCTTGACGTAAATAAAATTAGTCCCAACGCATATACTTGTTCTTGGTTAATACCGTTGAATAAAACTACATAAATAGTACCAGTATGAAGACACACAATGACCTCACCACTATTTGATATTGTAAACAGATGGCTTCGGTTTGCAACTATATGAAAATATTCCCGCAGGTGTCTGTAAAGTTAGAAGATGTTAATATTGCAGCTCCTCTCTCTGACCACTAGAAAGGAGTAAAAACGCATTATTGGGATTTTGATCAATAGTCATTTCCTGTCATAACATTTCGTTCTGTTTAGTTTTTCGCTGTATTTTTAAAGCTCTAGTGGTGGAATGTGACCATATCTACACATACAGTATATTACATCAAATACAATGCGTTCTAACATCTGATTTTAAATGATGATGGGGGATTAATATTTAGACATACGATTAAATAAGGACCGTTTCCGACAAGTTTATTTTGATTGCTTCAGTTTGAGAACACTATTTTGAAAGCACTTACCGTATGGACACTGTCTGCACTGTCCTAAGAATATCTATTTCATAATCAATGACCTTTTGTATGTACAAGAAAAGTCACTAATTTACAATATGTGTACAGTTGGCTTAAGACGACCCTAATGCTCCAAACTAAAACAAATCACAACAGTAACGTTGCATCAGGTAACATTCTATTTAATTTTTCTAGATGGTTTACATAGAAGGATCATTAAGCTATAATGGCCCTTCAATACATTATTATTGCACCCAATGTCTAGGTATGTTTATTTTTTAGAGGATTCTGCTTTTTTCATTGTATTCCTAACGCTCTCAGTGGAAATGGCTGCATGACACTATGTATTTTAAAAAAATCAATATTGTGCTAGTTTAGTCCGATTCCTTCAATTTGGTAACTGCATTTTGAAAGTATTATCCGCATGAACACATGAATCTTTGTAGCGTGATGAGAATAATATTGCAGTTCGTCTCTGTGACCACCGGAGGGAAGCAAAAACAAGCGATTCGAGTGAATTGGTCCTTGAACATAGAAACTATTTGACATTTTTAAACCTTCCAGTTACTTTACTCTCGTAGTCTATGCGTTTCCAATGTTTCTTTAGATAATGCGATTGCATTCACGCTTGAGAAATCATAACATTAATGTGACACGTTTTCAATTGTATAGATTTATCATGCTGAACGAAACCTGTAAGTACTGTTGGAGGCACGTGTACAGACATTTTGGGGGGCAGGTGCTCAAACCAAAACAAAAGGGCACCCATCGCCAAAATTATTCATGAAATTAAAAACACTAATAAAATAAATAAATAAAAAACACAGTAGGATATTTTCCCTGTCCTTCTGCTTTTAGAGTCTTTTGTAAATGAGACAAAGAATGTTGTGCATAATAATAAAAAAGCTGACAGCTGAGCTTTTGTGTTGAAGCGTAAGCAGCGTTAATATACCACAACATACCTCACCAGACTGTCACGTAGCTCAACTTAAGACCTACCTTTCATTTCAACAATTGTGTATTAAACAAAACAGTTAATGGTTAGTGGTAGACTAACCATTTCAAAGCAAAGGATTTCATTTGGAGTCAGAATGACCCGAGACAACACAACCTTGCGTTCCAGATAACCTTCAGATGATGTTGCAATGTCAACAAAGTAGAGGCGACGAAGGGATGCAGCTGTCAACAATGCAAATAGACTGTTTAAATAGACTGCTGATTTTAAGTTCTGAAGTGACATGGCTGCGAGATTTGTTAATCAAACAGCCGTGACGTAATTCTTTATATAAAAAAGAGGCAAAGTTGTGCTGACTTTTTTGTATTGTTTGCGTCTAGTGCGAAGGGACAGAAACATGATGTGGAAGCTTGTTTTTGTGATTATTGCTGCGGTCTCCTTCATCGGTTTAGCACAAATACCAGGAGGGTTTACGGACATATCGATAAATGATGAAGGCGCGAAGGAAGCCCTCGACTTTGCCGTCCTCATACACAACAGACACAGCAACGATTTCTACATCCGCGTGGTGACAGATGTGATCAAGGTTCAGGTTCAGGTTAGTAAAGTTTCACTTCACAAATACACCCAAGTGATAACAAAAGATATGAAAGCTGATCTGAAATCTACCATCAATTACGTAAATGACTGATGTTTTGCGGCATGTATTCATTTGAACCTGTCTGGAATGTAAGATCCTTAGTGTTGTCTTCATTGTGTGTACACCTGAAATCCTCCGTAATAATCCTCTAGCATGAAGGTTCACTGAAATCTCACAGGTGGTGGCTGGTTCGCAGTACTTAATAACTGTGAGAATGGCACGGACCCCCTGCAGAAAGTACGACGCAAATGATGTGTGTGCCCCCGACCCAGACCCAGCTTGGGCTCAGGTAATGACTTTTAACACTCATGATCAAACCCCCTCCCCATTTTTGCTTTAGGGATTGTAGACACTGTGTTTGAATGTGATAGTAGACTTCTCTCTAAAATAGCAGCCAACACTCTCTGAGCATGAAACAATTGCATACTTCTCCTCTTTAAACCAGCGATGGTCATTTTAACCAGATGACTGGTTCACATATCAATTGGATATTTAAATATTTGATTAATTAAATGAATCTGCTTCTGAAAAAAAGTCAATGTTTATCTCTAAATAAACAACATTATATGTTTTTTTTTATTAATTCTGTGTGTGTGTGTGTCCTTTTCTTCCTCAGCCCTACCAGTGCATATTCACCGTGTGGAGCCGCCCATGGATTAATGACGTCAGATTGACTAATCAGGAATGCTAGAAAGAGAACTACGGAGGAAATCTTCATTATGTTTTCCTATAGATGATGCACAACATGTTATCATTCTTAAAGTCAATGTATTCACTGTTATACATAATCACTAAACCAAGTACAGAACAAATAATTGTGTACTGAGTTGTTGACGTGGATATTGAATTTTTTTTAAAATGAAATGAATTAAAGTAGCATGGGAACATTCCATTGTGTGAATGCTTTGGATATTCAATACTCAGTTAAGTCTTTCAAACATTTTTGAATGTCGTGTTTTTAAGGAAGTACGTAACATTTCACAGTTAACAAGTCAACGCAATGGAATTTTTTTAATTTATTATGGCTTGTATCAAAATACGTTTTTATGTATTTTTATGAGGGGTCGTTTAGGACTTAATTGCAAGGGTGCAAACACATGTTTGGTCAAACAAGAGAGGTAATTGAAGCCCTCGCCCAGCGGCAAATACCTACTCGAAGCTACGGGGTGTTGAAGAGGAAGTAATGCGGCTTTTTTTCGCGTGTGTGGCTTGAGTGCGTGACTAAAGAGCGAAATGAGTGACTGTCCAATGCCCAATGCGTGACACTTGAGAGCCCTGCATTATTGTTGGTTAGCTGTTGGCTGTTGATGAAATTTTGATCAGACCCCTCCTTAAAAATACTTTTTATCTGCACGATTCACACAAGTCACCCAAACTAAGGGGAAAAAATGCAGTTTGCATCCCTGTAATTATTTAGACACTCTCACACATACTAATGAAACACTTACATTCACTTTTAAAACGCTCTCACACTCACTACTGAATCACTCACACATACATACATGTCCTGTGTGCACGCTCATATATAGAACATCATACCTACCAGTCTGAAACACTTAAACATAAATATACTTCTGTATCTACACATACTTATGAAATGCTTATATGCTAACCCTTACATGTGTGCCATTAAAACATGCACGCTCATATGGAACTTTGATTGTTTAGAGGTTTTCAAGACATCAACATGCACTCCAAAATAATCCTAATCTTAAAGATCTACAGCTCAGGTTTTGAGGAATGTTAGCATCACTATTCATTAATCTGCTTTTACTTTATTATATCAATACATATGACTATGACTACACTGTTACTTGCAGGTAAGGCTTACATTGACCAAGTTACTCCGGGCCTACTACATCTGGCCAATATCTTTAAAAGCATACACTGTATCCAATGCTTCCAGAAATGAAGCAAGCAAAGTTGACGAGAGAGATGTGAGATGTTGGGGGATATAAAAAAGCCTCGATAACTTTGCGAAGGCCTAAAATATACCAACTTTCAACCTTGTACTTTAAAAGCTTTTGATGGAATTTCCATCCTTTGTTTTGTTCACTTTTATATTTGCAGTGAAATGTGTGCTGCAAAATGTCATCCTGTAATTGTGGGTCCATGTTTGCATTATGAGGAAGAGTTAATTAGAAAAGCTGCATTTACAGCAACTGGCAGCATTTGAGGCACACCCATCAGGGCAAGAAGGATGTTGCACTTAAATCACTTTGGGGAATGTGACAGTAAATATCTTCGTTAGATTACGAAAGTAATACGCCTGATGTTACTTCCCCGACTAGGAATGATTGAGATGACTCCCCCTCTACCAACACGCCCAATTATTGTCCTTAATTTGAGTAGTTTCAGTGGCGTAAAATTATTTTAATATATACAGCTACTTCATGTGTTTCATCAATGCATTGACAGTTACCTTTCACCAAATGTTGCTTCCCCTTGTTAGTTCCCTTACGTTCACCTTAAGATAAAACAAAGAAATTGTCACATGCTGTGATAAAGCAGCGTACGTGTTCTCAGGAAGGTAAGAAACCATTTACAGTATTTGTTGCTTTAGTGACCAATGTCAGATGATGGATAGGAATGCTGAACATTCAACAATGATTGAAATAGTTGACAGAATACTGGATATCAATGGACACATTCATGCTACTATGGAACTTTAATTCATTTCATTTTAAAACTTTTTTCAATAGCCATGTCAACAATTCAAAATCCAATTATTTGGTTTAGTGATTAAGTATTACAAAGTTGCTTTTATAAAAGGTAAATGTATGCAAATTCTATTAATGCTTTGCATCATCTACAGGAAAATACATATTGCTCTAAATATGAAGGTTATTCTACAAACAATAATGATGATGATGATGATGATGATTTCCTGTAGTTCTCTTTCTAGCATTCCTCCTTCAGCAGCTGGATGTCATTGAGCCATGAGCGGCTCCACACGGTGAATTTGCACTGGTAAGACTGAGGAAGAAAGAAAGAAAGAAAGTAAGTATACAATTATTACACAATCGGATAGCGTGGTCAACTATTAAATAGAGAAGTTCACTTTATCACATTTAAACACATGGGGGGGAGAGGGGGCTGGATCAGGAGATTGTAGGTTCTTAAAGGGCATTACCCGAGCTGCTGAGCCTTGTTGGGCGGCACACGCGTCCTTCGCGTTGTCCTTTCTGCACTCAGACTTGACCATCTTCACAGTGATCAGGTACTTGTAGCCAGCCACCAACTACGGAGGAAATACAGATTAATGCTCAAGGGTTACAGCATACAGGAGATTTCAGGTCTACCGATACGAGCACCTCACATTCCAGACAATTTGCATTCCGCGAAATGATTTTGCATAATTAGAAAGACACAACGTGGCTGTGACCGAGTGTGGATTAATCAGAATGGCCGAGTTCTAATCCGTTCAGTACTCATCTGCGACATTGGGTAATCTAATTTTAAATCTAATCTTACAGGCCTAATCGGCCATGATGAAACCTAATCGTTGCCAACCGCGGGGACATAGCCAGCATTCCGTTCCCTTTGTTTAAGCTTTACGGGCCCTCTTATGTCACCAAATTAAAGTAAATCAGGGCGTCAAAATGAAAAATGGGCCTCCGCGATTCAGCAGACTTGTCTGTAAATAGCTGCTCGGCTCGAGGACTAAATCTGATTTTATCGACACCACAAAAGATTCCCCAGATGGGATGCGCCTTATACCGACCTGCCTCTGGACCCGGATCACTTGCGCCACTTGGCTGAGGTACAAGTCGTTGCTGCCTCTGTTGTGCTTCGCCACGGCGAAGTTGAGTGCGTCACGCGCGCCTCCGTCGTTGACGTCGAGGTCCTGAAAGCCTCCGACGAGGACAGCGGAACCGACGAGGGACACCGCGGCGATAACCGTGAAAAAGAGCTTCCACATCGTGTGACTGTCACCGCGCGCTGAGACACGACCGAGGAGACGAAACAACAACAACAACAACAGCGGCGGCTCGACGTCGCCTCCCTCTTATATTAGGAGTGACGTCGCGGCTGCGTTGAGTGGCAGATCTCGCGGCCAATGAGGTCGCTGGGTTTTCGATTCGCAACGGTTGCTTGAGAGGTCCGTGTGCCTTCGTATCGTAGACACTCGGGATCCCTCCGTGGCCTCACCTTTGTTCACGTTACAACCATAACTTAAGCTGCAACCAAAAAGGAGACAAACAAGGTACGGGAAAAGGCAAAATGGTCGAATTCTGAAGTAGCGTAACTTTAGAGGCCTGGTGCAGAAACCTTATCTTTTTACCTCTGTCCCACTGCAGCACGACACCGCCTGTAGTCACTTCTCTTTGGAATTGCACAATGCAGAGACTGCAGGTTTTGAAGTAAGTAATCTTTTGGGACTCTTTTGTATTGAATATAGCCAACAAGTGTATACAGTATACCTCATGTTCTTACCCACTTTGCAGGGGAGCTTTCTGTGGCTTGGATCCAATCCAACAGCAGCTTGTGATTGGCTCAGCTGTGGCAGCGGGAGGAATACTCATTCACCTGCTTTACAAGAGAAGACAAGTCAAAAGTATCCCCCTCGGTGAAGGGTGGTGGGGGGCAGGACAGAAGCCCCTGTCCGAAGATGAGCAAATCCATCCCTTTGAAGTGCAAACCACGGATGAAGAGATTGAGGTAACTTTGAGCTGTTTCCTCACCAGAAAATCCCAATAAGGACAAGTGGACATGTTTATGTGGAGTAACCCAACAGTGGTCTCGTTCAACAGGACCTCCACGAGCGCATCGACAGAACCCGCTACACTGAATCGTTAGAAGACGGCTGCTTCCACTATGGCTTCAATTCCACATATCTCAAGAAAGTGGTTTCCTATTGGAGACACAAATTTGATTGGAAAAAGCAGGTGGCAGCACTCAACAAGTATCCACACTTCAAAACCAAAATCGAAGGTACACACAGCTGAAGCGACGGGGTTTAATGGTTTAGAGATTTGTTTTAAAAAAAACGTTCACACCGATGCTTTTTCCGCATCCATGCAGGCTTGGACGTGCACTACGTCCACGTGCGACCGCCACGCCGCGAGAACCAGACGGTTGTGCCTCTCATGCTGGTTCACGGCTGGCCGGGCTCCTTCTACGAGTTCTACAAGATTCTGCCGCTTCTCACGGAGAACCGGGACGGCCTGGCGTTTGAGGTCATATGCCCGTCCATCCCCGGCTACGGTTTCTCAGATGCGCCGCGCAAACAAGGTGAGTCTAATCATCGTAGCGTTACGTCCCCAGTAGCAGATGTTTGTTTTTACGGCTTTCTGCGTCCATTCAGGATTCGACAGTCTCGCTGCTGCCCGCGTTTTCCTGACACTGATGGAACGTTTGGGATTCTCGCAGTTCTATCTGCAGGGAGGAGACTGGGGCTCGCTCATCACCACCAACATGTCACAGATGAAGCCCATGTAAGAGCGCAAGACGAGACACTACATGCCACAAGTTACCACGTGCACTTTCCACCCTCCTCTGGGTTTTTTTATTATCATTGTGACATTGTTATCTAAATTGCGAAATAGTACGTGCAGTGTTCAAAGTGCACTCTTGACCAGAAGTACGTGCACTACAAATTCCAGGAGGCTGGAGAAAGTAAAGTCATTGTGGCGAAACAAAGCAAGTGCAATGCACCTTGGATTTATATCTAGAAATCTTCACTTCCAGACCCATCTTTGATAAAAAATGAATTACTTTTATATACTTATATAATACTGATACCTTTTTCCAGGTGTGTTAAAGGTCTCCACTTGAACATGATTAAAGTGAGGATGGGGTTCTCCGTGATGTTTTCCCTCATGATTGGATCTTATCTGCCATTCCTGGTGGGCTTCAGTCGGGAAGACGTTCGCCGATTGTTCCCTTTCTTTGAGAAGAACGTCTACGGTATCCTGAGGGAAACTGGCTACTTTCACATCCAGGCCACCAAACCAGACACTGCAGGTGGGGGACGGCCAATAAAGATCTTATTGTGGAACATATACGTTTAAAGACCACCCACGGGACACGAGCTAACTCTTAACATTTATAACTATTATTTCTGGGGATTAACATACTTTGATTGTGGATGCAGGCTGTGGGGGGAATGACTCCCCCGTGGGCTTGGCGGCCTACATTTTGGAGAAGTTCTCGACCTGGACTGATAACAGTAACCGAGCTCTGGCTGATGGAGGGCTGGAGAGGTACAAGCCGGCATTCAGTTTAACTTCTGTTTGTTTTATTTCAGCATATCAATTAAATTACAGATCCGTTAAGAGATGCTGTTGCTGTTTTTTTTATTAATTCTACACATCTTTATCTGTACAGGAAATTCAGCCTGGACGACGTCTTGACAAATGTCATGATCTACTGGACCACAGGCTCCATCGTCTCCTCCATGCGCTTCTACAAAGAGAACTTTAAGAGCAACCCTGACAACAGAGTGGATGCAAAGTATGTGGCCAAATGCTCTTACGGTTGTGACCACGACTTGTTTTATAAAATGGACAACCCTATTATCCAATCACATTGTGATAATGTCTTCTCTCTCTTTTGACAGGGTTGGGATTACGGTTCCCACTGGACTCGCCGCCTTCCCCGCAGAGCTGATGCACTGCCCGAAGTCTTGGGCAAGACATAGGTATCAGAACATCTACTCCTACACTTTCATGCCTCGAGGTGGTCACTTTGCCGCCTTCGAGGAGCCCCAGCTTCTAGCGAACGACATTGTCCAGTTCGTCAAAAAAGTAGAGAAGTTCTAAACCCATTGATGCACTCAGATAATTATTGTTAACTGTTCTTTAGATCGCTGTCAATTGATTCAGACTGATACTCCCAAAGGGGATGTAGATGCACGTTCCCCGTGTAGTTTGTTATTGCACTAAAATGCATCTCATAGATTGATTGCCCAATTGCTTCAATATCAAGATGTTTTCCATGTTTTAATAAATGTAAACACACAAAGACTCAATGTGTCCAACGATTCCATTCAAGAAAGCAATAAAGATATGGTCGAAACATATCACACAGATATTATGTGTGTTGGTCTGTGTTCCACAAGAACACAAGTGATATTTTATGTAAAACATTCTTCACAAATAAAAACAATGCTCAACAGATTTTATACCAAAAAAAACCCTCTTGGGAACAAATTCTCTCAACGTTAGAAGACTATAAAAAAGGATAATCCACCACACTGCTTGTTTCAATAATTTGTCCAAGTGACATGCTTTTAATCTCAACTAGAAAAAAATAACACATTCATTAAAATATGGACAGTTAAATTTTAGAATTCACTTTAACCACCATTCAAATGTAAACGTACTATAGAGGGCCAAGATGCTCCTAAACCGTCCCGTCACTTTCCGAAGCCCTTGATAGTCATGGGCGCCTGAAACCACACATAATCCGTCCAGTCGGGCCCCTGTGCCCTCGGTTCCTTACAGTCGCTGGGTGCAGTAGACAGAGCTATAATTTGGTGTTTCACACGGGTTGGCATCTTAAACTGCAGTTTAGGACGGAACCAGCCTACGTCGCAATCCCTGTGAGCCATCGCCAAGACTGTGGTGGGCATTAAACGAATAGGTCTGCTGTCAGACAAAAGGTCAGCCACGAACAGAGTGTGGAAGAGTTGCCTCAAGCAGGAAGACACGCGTAAAGATTCATCTCCACCAGCCAATATCAGGGCCTCCATGTTGATTTCATAGAGCTCTTTGGGGAGGACGAGGGAGCCCCCCATTATCAGCAGCACGCGGGGCACCCTGCTGAGGGAGAAAAGCACTTCCAGCTGCTGCAGCACCTCCTCCAGCTCCTGAAGGGTCTGTTGACTCTTGCGCCAGTCCATGTCTTCAGCTTGCACCGGCCGCCGACTTACTATGTCTTTATCCTGGAAAATAAAACATTCAGCAAACACTATTTACTTCATCTCAAATCCTCGGCGTGTCTTAATAATGTTCGGTTGAACCGCGCAAATGTTTGCCGCTCACCTGCATTGAGGCTTGTCGTTTCTTCTGGGAGTACACCAGCTGGTCGTAAGTCATGGGAAGTTGCTGTCTCTGATAGAGAATGCACTTGAGGATCTCGCTGACGAAGCGGCAGCAGCCGTCCTGGGTCACGGTGCCAGGGAACACCACGTTCACGCGGCCTTCGTCCTGCGCTTTTCTCATCGGCTCACAATCAATGCTCTCTGTGTTACAATGTTGTTTACTGGCAGTCACACTGGAATCTTGCAAACTTGTTGGAGGAGAAGTAGTGTCATCTCCTTGGGTGTTATCTGTAAAACAAAAAAATAAGGGACCAGAATAATGGACATGTCCTGTTCAATTTCAGCTAGTTAAATGATAATGAAATCTAGCTTGACTAGTGGTCTCTAATAAAGCAATTTTGGTGGAGAATTTCTTAGCGGAATGCCGTATCAAGCAGAAATCCTTTTATCTATACGCATTTATGCAGCATCATATAAGGCTTTTATGCCACTGGATTATATGGAATGATACCTTGATGTGTAAACAGCATTCTAATTCAGCTGGTCGGGCAACGGCTTATTCTATCTACCGTATACAGTATACACCGCTGAAAAGTTGTCAAATACAATTGCCTTTGTATAATGTGCCAACAAGGATGTATTATGAAGAAATGGGCAACAACTAATGCTGGAAACGTATATTGTCTTATAACATCAGTATCTGGACCTAATAATACTATAAAAAGTAGCTTATAATTACTAATTATTACTGTTGTGCCGAAGTCATTTAGCAAAATACAGACAGGCAACAATTTATATAACATCAAAACGAAAGCAGATGAGCTGTGTCTTTAACATGCAACAACAACATGTTTGACAGCTTGCCCTCAGCAGCGTGCTGGACACGAGTAACGTTGCTTTTCAGTAACGCTCCCTAATTGTAAACAACGTGGCGCCGCGCGCGCCACCTCGCGTTACCTGCAGGGCCGCCTGGTGAGGGCAAAGCGGCGTTCTCCTGGTCCTCGGCGTTGTACACAATTTGCCGTTTTGGTTTAAGTCGATGTTCCAGTGAGACGTCTTTCAATTGCGATGCGTTTCCCACCTTTAAACGCGTGTTTACCACCCGCGTTGAGAGTTGCGAGACGACTTCCGCGGACAGCGCGCACGAATCGGAGGCGTCGGAAACACTTCGTAACGTCTGGTTTTTAGACGTCGTGTTCGGCTCCTCTAACGCCACAACATCTTTTTCTGACGAAAAGGACAGACGCCTCGTGATGGAGCTGCCTTCGGTGTCATTAGTCGACGCATTATCTGAGACGTCCGGACTCGGTGTTCTTGATTTTAATATATTCGAGTCGTCTGCCATGGTTTTGAATGTCCCCGCCGGGTCGTTTCCGAACTGCATCATGGGAATCGGAAGCGATGCCGCGTTCACGAAACACCGAAAGAGGAGAGTAAATACAACTATAAAACATTTAACACATTGTTAGTGTTTTAGGCGAAACTTGCTTACTGAAATTCTAATGTCACTGACCACATGTATTTGTATTTCGAGTAAGATATGGATTTTAAGTGTTTTAATTCAGGAATCAGGAAACATTTATTGCCAAAATATGTCAAACATACAAGGAATTTGTCTTGACGGTTGGTAGACAGTGTAACAATAGACAACAAGACAGCAAGTAATAAAATAAGGTAAAATGAAATGCTAATGCAATGGGTTAGTAGAATAAGGCTATGAGTTAGTATAAAACAAGAGAATAAAGTTAGAGTTAAACATTTTAAATATTAAAAAAGTTAAAAAATATTAAGCATAAAGTGCACTAGCGAACAAGTAACAAAGTGACGAGTGACGACAAAGTGAAAAATTACAGTTAAAGTGACATGTGCAGTATGAAGGGGAGTGACCGGTGGACTAATTGTGTAGTATTGTAATAACTACACATACCTAACCAAATGTATGTTTTTCAAATGTTTCAATCACACTACATAAGCTTGAACATCGTTTCTAATAATTCAAGTCATCTTTTAACAGCCCTAATCGATCTGCGCGTGGCACCATTAAGACCAATGCGCTGCATGTATTAAAGCCGCTGTGATGAGGCCGAGTTGTCGTTTTTTTTCTCGTGAGCGGCAAACGCAGCCCATTGACGTCAGAGCTCATTCGCATTAAACATTAAAAAACACAAGATATGAGTGGATTTTGAATTTCATACAGTGGGTTATTTGATGGAAAGACTTAAAACTGAATTTAAAGTGACATCTGATTGAGTCTTTTTACATTTGTATTGGTGGACATCGTGTTTATTCGTGTTAATAAATTGACAAAAACCCTAAGCCACCGTCCTTTTATGTACTTTATATATATGAGTGCAAAGAGTTAACACAGCAATCATATCAACCCAGACCTCGATATCATGACTTAAGAGAACGAGTGAAGCGTATTGTGTCGCAATGTTTTACACCCCAGTGGCGAGTATGTGAAGCGCGCCTCGAGGAACAGCGCTGGCGACAGGTGTGATAATTAGGTGTGAAATACGCTTCATTCATGTTCACGCGGATGCTTTTACGCGGAAGGCAGACCTCCTTTCACAGGCGGACAAAACGGGCTGTGACAACCCGTCGTTCCGTGTGTTACGTGTAATCTTGATTCTTAATGGCTTCTTTGCGAGTAGCGGTCCGAGTCCGCCCTCTGAACAAGCGGTAGGTTGAATGACTGCTTCCATTTTCTCCCTGAATGAACTCTTATGCGGCTCACGTTCACTCTTCCACAGAGAAAAGCAGTTTTCGTCGAACGTGATAATTCACATGAATGGGAACTCCACATCTATTCGCAAGGTATTTTGTCACAAAAAAAGCACTACACTGCGGATAATTCAGTTTTTATTAAGAGGGGCCTTTGCATTGGATATTGTAGCCCACCTCTATCCGAGTGGACCAACAGAAGGACCAAGACAAGACCTTTATTTATGACTTCTCATATGATTCAACGGACCCAGAAGGACCCACATTCATATCGCAAGAGAGGGTATCTGTATTCATCGGCTTCCCAACATTTTGCATCCTGTTTTTGTATCGTTGTGTAGGACAACGACCTTAACAATGACCTTTTTCCTCCTGCCGCTTCAGATTTTTCAGGACTTGGGGTCTGGAGTCTTGAAAGCTGCATTTGAGGGCTTCAACTCCTGCGTGTTTGCTTATGGCCAAACAGGCACAGGAAAATCCTACACCATGATGGGTCACACAGTAAGGCCTTCTTTCACCTGGAATAATACTAATAAAAAGTATCTTGAGAGATGGTCTTTCCAAGTTCCATCTCTAACGCGCCTCTTAGTCTTCAGGGCCACCCAGGATGTGACAATACTCCGACACTTTCAAGCTTACGTAGCAGAATATCCAAGTAGAGCTAACTGGTGTGCACTTAGCATCGACTTCTTGCAGCATTAGGAACAGACTGATGGAAGCTTCATTAGGCGCCTCTTCATTTATCTCTACGCTTCTCCCCTCTAATCAGAAAATGTGATGAGGGCAGCAACCCACAGCTTTTCTCTCCTCACCTTGCAGTGGACCTTTCACATTACCAATAAGCTCTCTGCTTTGTCTACCAGCAGACTTGTGCAAGGTCATCCGCAAAGCTGCCGTCAACATCCCAGATAATTGTATATGGCTCTTAATGCATACTATCTGTTCCTTTTGTAATTAAAACAAGAGGGCATGCAGCTCAGAATGGAATTGCTTTTATGCTTCAGTAACTCTAGATCAGATGAACGGCCGTTTTTCTTTTTCTTTTTCAGCAGTCTTTGTATGTGCTGAGTTGTGTTCGTGGTGTAGTACAGACAAATGTACACAAATTAAGAGATCACAGCATGGGGAGAATCTGAATGTAACATTATGACTGTCGTTTTATAAGAACAAGCAATTAAGAAATGCACCCCTCTTTGATGTGCCAGGGGGATGAAGGTTTAATTCCACGAATCTGTCAAGGCTTGTTCTCCGAAATATCCCGTAGAGGCAAGAGCGAAGCCGTGTCATTTCGCACAGAGGTCAGGTAAGGCACCATCACACTTCATCATTCATCTTATCTGCCTATGCACATCATCCATCTCCATTTCTGTTTTTAAATGAAAGTTTTTAGGATGTGAAATTAGCAATATTTTCTTTGTGCTTCGTAGTGTTTGGCCCTGTTAACTTTATCTGGTAACAACGCTGATTGCAAAGCTATGTTGGGATGAATCTGTTATTTAAATATAAATAAAAATAAGACTTTAAATGCAAACCTTTTTTTAATAATCCTAATATAGTAAAGTGTGTCCAGTAATCCTTGTGGGATTAATTCTAACAATATATTGATTTGAACAGAAATGCCGAATCATCAGCATTGTCATTCGTATACCACAGTAAAGTCTTTGCTTATTCACTCTGTTATGTAACTTCTGGAAATTGTATCAGCCAATTTTTCTAAACTTTTTTTTTTTTTTTTTTTTAAAGAGCAAAATTAAGGCTTTATTTCTTAAATATTCCAGATGGGTAATCTCATGACATTAACGGTTTCATGATGACATGTCCCTGCTCTACTCCTGAATGATAGTTGGAGGATAAAATGATTGCTTTTAAGCTCGATCAAGCCAGTCTGGACCCCTATTAAGATATTGGTTATCATGTGCGCTGTTGGCACAATATTTAGCTTTTAAACCTTAACACCGGGTTTTTATCTGACTATCTCTGCCAGACAGTTGGTTGTGTTGGTAGCTGCACATGCATCCCAACATTGTACAACATACGTATTCTAAAGGAGGGGATGGTGGTTGGATAATAATGGCAGCTAGACGTCTAGCCATTTAGAAAACCTCTAATCTTGTAATCTGTTTGATTTCTAAACACTGTGCCAAAGAACATCCTGAATGGCTCCGTCCACAGGACGTGTCTCTGCCGTTCCATCACGCTCACGTAAAGCCTAATTGCTCCTTGCCTTGTGTTTGACTCTGATAAGTCCTTTTTGCTTATTGCACAAACGTGATTTAAGTGCTCTGCCGAAACAGACTTTGCATTTTTTGTTCATTGCCAATGCAAGCTGAGCCAGGCATGCACAATAATTTGGAACTGTGCTGCCGTATTCATAGTCTACTCTGAATGGCAACTTGTTTTCTGCTGTTTGGGTACTTCCACTGAACGCCTTCATTAACCTGTGCCTCTGTGGCCTTGTAAGTATGCTGTCTTGGATATAATTTAGCCTCTCTGTCTCTGCATCAGCTTTTTAGAGATCTATAATGAACGTGTGCTGGACCTTCTGAAGAGAACTAAACCCACCGATGGAGGCTTGAAAGTGAGAGAGCACCCCCGCGATGGTCCCTACGTAGAGAGTGAGAAATAGTTGTATTTTTAAACTCATGTTCATCTAAAATCTCATGCAATGCAGAAAGTCTATTACAGTTGACAACTTGTGTGTAGATCTGTCAAAGCAATTGGTACACAACTACAGTGACATGGACGACCTGATCATTCTTGGCAACGCCAACCGCACCACAGCCAGCACGTGCATGAATGATTTCAGCAGCCGCTCCCACGCTATCTTCACCATCAGCTTCACCCAGGTGGGCTGCAGCGCCTAAATGGCTCATTGCTGCCATATTTCCTGTTGCCTGATGTAATTGAGTAAAACATTTTTAAAAGTTTCCCCTTTAAAAGACTTCTGGGTGTTCGTAAAGGCCATCCCTCAAGAGTTCTAATTAGCCGTGTTTATCTGTTTTGTGTAACGCCCATTCATGAAATAATAATTTAATCTTCAAAGGCTTTTAAAAAAAATATCTTTTCCGTCTTAAATAGAACATTTGTCCTGATGCAGCCGATTCCTTTGGGAAGTTGCCTCTTTTAAACTACACAGAGATTGCTCAGTAATGTTTTTTCATGCCACAGGCGTGGTTTGATGCAGAGATGCCCCGCGAGACGCTGAGCAAGATCCACCTGGTGGACCTGGCAGGCAGCGAGAGAGCGGATGCCACATGCACCACGGGCACGAGGCTGAAGGAAGGAGCCAACATCAACAAATCCCTGGTGACCCTGGGCAGTGTGATCTCAGCTCTGGGTAAGTGGCAGAGGAAGCGGACTGTCACACACCATGTTATCTGGTATGGCGTTGGTTAGCTCAATAACAAGACAGTAATTCTATTTATTCCTTCAAAATAAAATGCATTATGGGTTATGTTTTTTGTAGTCATTTATTTAACTGAACAATTTACTTAACACAATTCATAGCTGGAATTTGCTTTCTAGACATCTGGATTTCTGCAAAGCTTTAGGACTGAAATACATCATATGTTGCTCTAGTTTTCCCCAGTCAGTGTTTTCTTCCTGTGTGACCTCCCAGCTGATCTTAGTGCGGGAGGACAGTCGAAAAAGAAGAAACAGACCTTCATTCCTTACAGAGACTCGGTGCTGACATGGCTACTGAAGGACAGCCTGGGTGGAAACTCTTTGACTACTATGATAGCAAGTATGTTCTGTGACTCATTTACCCTTTGTGTTCTTGCCTATTTTTGTAATGGTTTTGTTCATGTTTTTTTTCTCACCACTGCTCATCAACCTCTGTACTTTTCTCCCTGGTGGCAGCTGTGTCTCCTGCTGATGTGAACTACGGGGAGAGCCTGAGCACGTTGCGCTATGCCAGCCGAGCTAAAAACATTGTGAACTCTCCCACCGTAAACGAGGACGGCAGCGTGAAGGTGATCCGAGAGCTGAAGGAGGAGGTTACCAGGCTCAGACGGCTACTAGAGGAAGCCAATCAGGTCCTGGATATGTCCAAGCTCCCACATAAATACAGCAAGGATCCAATATGTATTTTGACAGTCTTTTATTCAAAATTGACATTGTGTTTTTGGCTGTCTTTCTACTATTACTCCCAGGTGTCTCATGGGGATCCATCTTCCTCTGTGAAGGTCGAGGAGGAGCTACATCAGAATCAGACACGGGTGAGTAATTCTCTGCCAAGTGGAAAATGGGGGCGGGGGTTTGTCGTTTTCCTCTGGAAACCATATTCCTCTATTCCTCCTCGCCCAGGTCCTCGCGCTGACCAAGGAGTGGACCTGCAAATGGGGCGAGACTCAGAGTATTTTGCAGGTATGGCAATCATTATTTTATGTATCTAAGACAACTATACACTGCTTGCACAGAGGTTGGGAATATTTATTTGTGATTATTGTCTTAATATTTAGAACTTAACCAGAGTCTACAAATCCATCCATTCACGTAATTGTTATTTATCGTTCCTTCCTCCTTATTTACATGTATGACTAAGCTCACCAGATCATCCAGCCATTCACAAAGCTTTTATCCAGAAGCATAAAGGCCTGATCCAGCATTTCATTTCAACAATTCATTCTTAAACACATTGATGAAGTGAGCTTTCATACAAATATTCTGGGGCTATTTTAACATGGGTCAGTTTTATTCACCAATTTTCAGTGTGTGGCAGACTGGTTTGGTAGGTGCTTATGTTTTGTTGACTGCCTTTGTTATAACAAATTGTTCTAACTTTTTAAAGCCCCAAATCTAATTTTTGAAAAGGGATATGCCTGAAAGCTTGACACAGAAACATACATCTGGGTGAAGTAGAAGGCCACAGAGTACACAGTGTGAACCTTTGCTCTATCCACTGCAACACCAACAATCCTTGGTGTTCTAGACGTTGCTGCCTGCAGTAAAGACATCCAACCAGATGGTGTCACTGTAAGTCTGGTTAACAGCTTGGGCCGCTCCATGGAGTAGAGTGGCTAATGAGACTCGAGTCAACCTGACATTTAAATTTAATTTCCCATCTATTTAGGTTTAAATGGCATCCAAAAGCTGAGTTCTCGTAATTATCGTAAAGTAATTGTGTGTGTGTGTGTGTGTAATAGTGTTTGGAAGTCTGACAAATAGACTCTGAACAGACGTGCCTTCCTTTTCAACCCCATATGGTTTCTCTGCGGCTCGGACGGTGGTGGCATCTTCCTTTTACGAGGAATCCCAAGCTGTAACAAAAACAATGTGAGCCAACCCAAAGTTTATACTGAACACTTTTCCTCTGTTGAATTGCTGCCCAAACCTTCGAAATAACACCAAATGTCATCTGTTTGCAACTTATCTTACTCGGCCAAGAAGCCTGTTGCATTATTCATCGAACTGTGAAGCGTGGCAGTCACAAGAACTATGCAGTGACCTCTTGTTTCCATCCTACGTGTTCGGCAGTACATTTTCTCTGGCAGATTTTGCACGTGTTTTAACTGTTGTGTTTTTCAAGATTTGTGTTGGTCGGATTGTAGCAATGCTTCTCCAGAATACCAGAGTAGAGCAACAGCATCATAAGGACATTGTTTAAGCATTTTGCGCATCCTACACAGGAATGTGGGCTCTATATGTGTGCTGGATAATTAACATTACGATTCTCTCTGGTGTCTGCAGGTGACATTTCGTGGCTTGACAGCCCTTTTACCCATGATATCGTATTGGAACTCATTAACAGCTCTCACCTTTCCCAATTAAGAGGTCCTAAATATTGACATATGCCACTTTCATCTTTACCGTCCAGAATATTAATTAGACAGAGTTGTGAATTTGTTTCCATGGTGCAGCAGTGATGGCTTTAAGCTACCAGGCAGCGTCTTCAATCCCTACTGGCAGATCTGAAGAACATGCCTTATTTAGAGCTGTGGCCATTCAAGTAGAAGGACCCGTTCTGATGCAACGTGATGCCGGAGTGTTTGATGAATCACTTTATGGATTTCACATTTTTCTTCCTATGCTTTTGCACTGCTGTTAAAGGTGGCATCTCCATTCAGAAAAGTGAAGTACATCCAGTTTATAGTTGGCCACTTAAGATTCAGCACACATGCGTAACAAAAACAAGTTTGATCAAATTCAGGATTTTTGTGTGGATTTCTTTTTTTTTTTTTTTTTTTCATCAAACTGCCTCGTTTGAAATGGAATTGTTGTGATGTAATCCAACCGCACATGTGTTATTATGCATGGTGTTATTCATACAGAAGTGCATGCTATCTCTCATTGGCATGTTTCATATATTTTGCCTTTTAATTCATTTGTTGCCGTTGCTGAGAGCTAAATTAACGTGTCTGCTGGGGCCGTAAGGAGACTAGTTGACCAAGAGTGGTGTAAACAGAATTTTGGAATTCTGTATTCAAAGCAGATTTGTAATGCAAAGTTATTCATCGTCAGCTTCCCAGATTGGTTGCAGGGCATGTGGGAAAGAGAAAGTAATTAATATGAGATGGATTCCAGTGCAGCCTCTTACCAGACACAACCGGCAACAGATTGAGAGAACAAGAAAGGCAGGAAGTGAAAAGTGAAATGTTGTTCTACTTCAGGGGTATATAGCCTTTAAGCGCACCCCCCCCCCCCCCCCTCACCCCCCGATATGTGCGTAGCTCTACATGAGTGGAGTTCTGCTCCCCAGCTGCCCTCTCAGGGCCGCTTGTAACAGTTGTGGGAGGAACCTCAATTTCAGTAAGACAAAATGAACAGGAGTGTTTCTTTGATCATTTTTAGGTCTTTGTATTTGCCAAACATGCTGCAATCAGCACAAAGACGCAACTTAAGTTCACTTTTGGAAGCTCTGAGCCTGATTCAGTTTAATGCCAATTTACCTCAAACTGCCAGCAGTTATGCGTCATAGTTGGCTATTCTTGCATTTCATTTCATGACCTTTATATCTTATGAGCAGCTCGCTTTTGATTATTCACATTTGCTCCAAACTCTTGTTTTCTTAATTTATGAATGATTTATTATCTGGCCTTGTTTGAAACCCACACGGCAAGCATATGTGTTAGGTGCCATTCATACCTACAAGGACCCAAATCTCCTGCTGGGGCCCTAATCAGCTCTACAAATAACAGTCCAGATGATATTTACAGTCTTTAAACAAATAATTGGCCAAACGAATGCATGTTTAGCACGATTACATGCTGACATTTCAACATGAGTTGCAATGGGAGCCCGGAAGGGCTTTTATAAGGTTGAATCCGTCTCTAGTTTGAAACCCCTATGCGCATGCATAGCAACAGGCTAATTACTGGAATGCATGTCACACTAATTACACAATGGAGGCATAACAGAGATTCTGCTTTTACTTGTGCAGACACAGAAATCCCATGAAGGGACAAGTAATAAACGGTACACTGTTAATCAGGATGCAGATTTTGTTTCTGTTCTTTGCCAATTTGGACTTTAACAGAATCATAACGAACTGTCTTCATGGCCTTTCCCTTCATGCTGTATTCATTTACGTTTTCATCAAATTCAGACATCTGGGATTGAAATACAGGCATTTTCAAGGATTTCAAATGCACAAGTTTCTCTCTCTCGGCCTGCATTCAGTACCTGCTTATCTTTTCAGTTGGCCAGTTAATCCACTTGACAGGGCGGTGAGGAAAGAAGGATTGGTTGGCCTACGGAATCATTTTGAAATGCATTATTAACGCAAGTCAGAATCTCAACCGTCGAATGTTGAGGAAAAATCCATTTAAAATTCCGCCCAACCACAGATGATAGCTTTTAATGGGAGTCTAAATGCTGCCCGAGCCTGGCTGCTGGTCTGGGCCACAATTAATTACAGTTTGTACACCAGCTGCATCAATCTGAAAGCACAGCACACTAACACAGGCAACTTTCTCTGCATGTGTGCAAATTTTAGTAGAAAGTAAGAGGGTCGTTTGTTGTGGGAAGAGAGTGACACAGTGGATTAATCTGCCAGGCTGCTCCTCACCACCTAATGAAGTTTGTGAAGAATCCCTTTTAATTAAGTACAGGCGCTGAGGTCGATGCCTCTCCTTCTTCATTAGAAAAAAAGGATTTCTCCACTCGCACAGCTGCCAATGAATGAATGAGGTGGTGCTGGTGGTGAACAGATCTCACTTCACGGTCCAATCTATACCAAAGAGTAGGAGGTTGAAAGAGCGGGCAACTAGTTTATGCAGAGTGTGAATCTGAATCCTCCATATGTGAGATTTTCTGCTCTGCCTCTTGGGGAGGTACTTATGATAATCCATGGCAATGTGAGGCATTAGTCCACCAGCTTAACAGAGGAATACTTCTGATGGGGCCACTCAGGCTTGGGCAGACTCTGTATCACAGACACAGAAAGGAGGAAAGGTTACTGACCTTGAACACTTCTCGTAGAGTTTCTGTTCATTTAGTGTCTTTTGAACCGAGCAGGTCGTCCAAGGTTGAACTTCTTATTTCTTGTCAAATAATTGGGGAAATAAGTCATTCAGCCTGCAGCCTGGGCTTTCCCAAATCTTAACTTGGAAAATTATATTTTCTATAAAGAGAAATTTGAGATGGTGACCAGAGGTCTTAAGTTTGGCTGTCCTGTGCATTCAGAAATCAAACTAATTTCTCAACCTGCTATGGCACTTCTGTAGGGTGGTGTTGTAATACATATTTATCAGGTTATTCTGGACAAGCAGAACAGCCCCCCCCATCTTTCACTCTCCGATTGGGACCTGATGCAAACACACGCTTTATTTTGTGTGGGAGAAAATGAAAATGTCTCCATGGTCATTGAGCTATTGAATTTCCTCATGATTCTATTCATGCAAAATAAATGCTTTGAGCCATGAGATGCTTTTTACTTCACGAATGAATTTTTGTTTGACCTTCCATGCAATGCTCCGGTGAGACGCATTGTAAACGACTCACCTGTTTATTGCTGGTGTGCGGTGGATATATATTTAACAAGCGCTGGGGTATTTCAGCATTAACCTACAGCGTTGATAGCTGTGTATCAAATGAAGGCGGTGCTTCATGGTGTACAACCTGCCTTGTGTGTGCATCTATTTCGCTCTCTGAACACAATGTAAAGTTTGACTCTCGCCACGGTAATCTGAATGATTTATGGAGTCTCTCCTGCCGTTAGGCCCTCTGCCGCTTCATGGTGACACATGGTTGGAGCACCGCTGCTCTGCTTGGCCTTCAGGCGAGGAAGAGCAGTCATAAAGAATTCAGTTTTCTGCTGGTTGCCATTTAATGTCTGTCAGCAGTTTTCTATTTTATCCTGTGTGCCGTTCCAGCTACAGGCTTTTGGAGGATTCCCCCCTCACCCTATCATGGCATATTTTTCTTTTGTATTCTCTCTATAGGAGGAGACTGTGGCCCTGAGGAAGGAGGGCAGTGGAGTGGTCCTGGGCTGCCAATTACCACATCTGATAGGCATTGATGAAGACTTGCTCAGCACTGGAATAGTCCTGTATTATTTGAAAGTGAAAAGATTATTTGAACATCATAAAATTCACACATTTGTTAGAAAATATTACCAGCTACGGTCCAATGCTTTTGTTAATTGGCAAACAACGGCTTTCATATCGACATTTTTTTTAATCTGTGCTGTAGAATGGCAGAACCGTGATTGGGAGTGACGAATCGTCATGCAGTCAGGATATTGGTTAGTCAAGGTTACTGCTCTAAATTCCCAGCTGCTGTGTTATTCATTATATGGAAATATAAGCAGTATTTCTTTTTCTGCTTGCTTATCTAATTGTAGTACTCCATGGGTCCGGGCTCCTCGGTAAACACTGTGTGCTTGAGAACCGGGCCGGCACCGTGACTCTGATCCCTCAGGACGGTGCGCTGTGTTCAGTCAACGGCTCTGTGGTCACTGATCCCTGCCAGCTGTCTCAAGGTAAGCATCTCTACAGGGCTTAATATACCTTTTGATCTTCCCTAAGGATTATTGGGGTGGTGGTGCTTGTCTGTAACGAAGAGTTCTGTCAGATTCCCAATTATTTAGCTAGTGGGAGGTAATAACATACTCTTCCATTTTTAAATGCCGTTGTAAGATCGCTGCATCACATCTGCAAATGGAATCCACTTTGTCGCTGCCCCCCCCACGGCAGCATGCTCGGGCATGAGTGGATTGTGAACACAACCCTTCCACAGGGCAGATGCCATTTCCCCTTACTAAACATTTTGAAGGGCGAGGGGCCTCAGACAAAGCCCCAGGTCCTCCATTTAATTGGCAGATGGAATTGATAGGGCCGAGATGTTGTGAAGTGGGCCAGAGCATTAACCTTTCAAAGGGTGGAGCAAAAGCTGATGTAAAACTCCTGCCCCCTTGAGCAGACTCTGCTTGCTGGGGCCGGGAGCTTTCACCTCTTACTACCTCCTCATCCACACTGCTTTGCCTCGCAGAGGTAATAACTGCACAGAGAACCAGTCTGCACACGGATTGGCTACGCCAGTCTCTTCTATAACCATTTCAATTTATCCAATATCCCCTTCAGAAACGGATGCATCTGAGGCTATTTTCCTGAACAAATGATAGTAATTTTCAGTCCAATAGCAGCTGGAATCCATCACTGGCTGCTCTCTCAGGTGCTTTGTCACTCGTCAGAAGTCATTAGTAGTGGCAAGATTAGTATTTGCTGGGCTGAGAGGAAGCAGAACGTAGAGACCTCGAGAAAATCTTTGAATGTGGCCATAGGCGTGTGTCTGCTATAAACCCTAATATAGTTTCAATTCCATAGATTTACAGGACTTCTCCAGTTTCTTTGGATCATTTTCTCTGATAAATCATCCCCTCGGTCTAGGTCACTGCCAATCACATAGTTATTCTTTGCAACTCATTAACTTTACCTCAGCAGAGGAAAATGTTGAACTTTTTTTTCTCCATTTATTGGCTTTCCCCAAGTTTAGTACAGAGACAGCTCACTGGTAGATTCCCCGGGCTAAAGTCTGATACTTGTCACCTTTTTTGTGCATTATAGAGACTGTGCCATGCCTCCAAAGGTTACGCAGCAGACTTTCAGTGCCATTACTGTCAATTGCATCTGTCTTGAACAGATGCATTATGGCTTCTGTCAGTCTCTCACTCTATTGAATAATTAAATGCTTGCTGCAGCATTTATACCAAAGTTTGAGATGGTAAGTGAGTTGGAGATGCGCCCCTTTAAAAAAAAAAATACTTTACATCTTCCTTATCTCTAGGTGACATCACACAGTTAGGAAGAGGAAGCATGCTCCGGTTCAACCACCCGACTGAGGCTGCCCAGCTCAGATACAAACTGCAGGTATTGACGTAACCCAAAACCACCATAGACGAGCATTATTGTGTTCTTATCCAACATGCTGTTTTTGTAAAGCTGACTGAGCCTCTTTCTGAAAGGTTGCTGTCCCAACTATATTCTCCGCTAGTAGTTTTGTAAAAGCAGGTCAGCATTGGGCACTTTGTTTCCATAACTACTCAAATTGACTCAAATTATCACTGGATGCCACACAATCCGCTCAAATAGCAGCACTCGTGTGTGTGATTCATGCAGATTTTCTGATCAGATGCTCAGGTGATTGATTTTTCAGCAGCCACTGCTTGTTTGTGCATGTTTACTTCATTCTCTGGAATTGACTCAACAAACCAGGCCTGCTCGTTATGATGAAGCTCTCCATGGTGCTGAATGTTTTTTTTAAAACTTGAAAGCTATCTGGCGTTGAAAGGAAAGAAAGCCAACCAGGTGCTGGAGCTTTTGAATTTGGCTGCGTTTGGTCCAGCTCCTTCAAGCGTTTCTTCTCACAAAACCCAATCAGTGGTTCTCTCCAATAATTAGTTCATGTTTCTTTGAAAAAGGTTTAAAGGTTTGGGTCACGCAAGTGGGAAGGATTGGTAAGTTATGGTTAATTGTAATTATGTAACAAAAAAAGTGATACTTATGAACCACAACAGGCTTTGATACGATCCACTTTGCGCTGCTGGTCATATTTTATCCTGAATAACGATTTAAATGATGATAACATATATTTACCCATATAAATGAAGTCCTTACAAAATAAATCCAGCCTCCTTTAATTGTTTTTATTTTACAAAAAATAATGTCACGGTGAAGCCAAATCGCAACACCTAAATTCACCTCTTTGCAGCCTTTCGTCTTTAGAAGTTACAATACAACCAGAATGTAGCTTTGTGTACAGAGATTAAGTTAAATACGCTAGTATCTGTCAGGTGCTACTGCTTGTTAGTCAATTTCATAGCAGAATCATGGAAGAGGACAAATGAACCCAGGGGAACCCATCAGGGGAATGACAAAAGTGCAGTTTGCAAAGAGCACTACTGAAGCACGTTACAGACAAGAAGGTACAAAATCAAGCTACCTTTGTAAGCATTTCCTTGTCTGCTGTACATTGGTGTGAATCCATTTTACAACTTACATTCTTTAGACACAGCTGTACTTTTTGACAGCTTTCATCTCCTTGCATTATTGAAAATTACAACTCCAATACAGCAGACAAAAGCTACAACATTAAAACCCTGCTGTGGCGGATGATTGAGATGAGTCTTTACCATTTTTTGTTGACGTTTATTTCAAAAAAGGTGGTCTGAAGAATTGCATATTCACTCAGACTATACTACATCTCAGAATGGCATGTGTAACTCATGCATAGCATTTTATTATAGGAATATGTGATAGTTTGACTCATTTGGACGGGCTTTCAAGATATGGACATATTTCGAAATGTTGTCAAAGCTCTTCGGTCTACGCTTGTTTTATATAAAACTGCATAGTGTATAATTAAATCATGGGATGATTGCAAATCTACCGCAGGCAGCTGTCACTCATATCTCGCGCTCTGACAGATGCATATTTCACAGTGCTGTCTTATTCTGCTGTCTGCAGAGAGGGCCGCTTTCTGACATCAGCCTCCCCTTGACTGATGTGTCCACGTCCGCTGAGGATCTGTCCCAGGTGATGCTGCAAGACCCACGGTGAGACTTGTGCAGACATGTGTAAAACCTCTCCTCACTCGGTGACAACAGCGTAACTAAACCCAGTCCACCTCAATCTCCACAATGGGCCTGCTTATTGAGCAGTATTCATCAGGCATGCAGCTCAAATCAATGCCATAAATCGCTGTAGCGCTTCTGTGAGCAGAGGTGGGAACACGCCATGAAGCCATTCAGGAGTGCTTCATGCTGAGCCGGTGGAAATCACGGCCAGCAAGTCTCCGACAGCGCGAGGCACGTCCCAAAATGACACAAGCAAAATATACTGTTACGAGAAAAGTGCCGGCCGGTTCATCAATCCACCTTGCGACACTTCCAGCAAGTCTTTCTCACATCACTCTCTCTCCCTGGGTTGCTGTCGGTATTTGTTAAATGTCATCAGTCACGGAGCAGGAAGCTTTTCAAGTTCAAAGTGAACTAAGAGGCCAAAGCGTTGTCTTGGAGAAGACAATCTATGCAGTGTCTTGGTGGACGGTTAAAGCTGCTGTTTTGGGGATGGGGAGCTCAAACATCAATTTATATTCTACGGAAAGTCTTTTATTCCGTTGCCTCTGATGTCTGTGTGTCACGGCCAAAGTTGATTAAAGTTCTGAGACCTTAAGTAAACCTTTTTTTTATATTTTTGTCACCCAACAGGTGTACAGTGTCACAACAAACCTAAAACCCCAATGAATTTGCCCACTTGGTATTGAGAAAAGCCTACTCTCACTACAGGTAGACTAATCCGGGGACATAGCATAGTAATTTAATAGTTTATTTATGTACGTTAAAGCTACCGTCACACTGCTTGGATGTGAAAGTGTAAATTCTTGTGTGTGCATTCACTTACTTGAAGGCTGTTGGTGTGCGAAAACGTGAAGAATAGAAATCAGTAGGTGTTGGTGGTGGAGGGAAACAGACGGCCTAATTGCAGTCCGTAGGTGTTAATGGCAGGTCAGCGTTAAGACTGACATGTATAGAAATATATACAGAGGAAACTGTCAGGATAACTTTGCAGAATCGTTTTTTTCACTGAAGACACATTGGAAAGTATTATGTCTAATACTTTGAATTGATTGAACGTGGCCTGCTGAACTACCACCTGGTGACACCACATTAAATGGCCCTTAGTTGAAAACGTCTTGAACATCTAATTTGAATTCAAACTGTCATGGACAATTCTCGGCCAAATCTGTTGGATCAAAAACCTTTTCCCTTGAGAGTTTGGACAGGAAGAGGCTAACTGCTCAACAAAATGTCCAACCCGTTCCTCGAATCGTGGCAAGACTTCACTCGTACGTGTGCATTTATCTCAGCTGAACATTGATCAGCTCGGCTAGCTTTGCCTCTACGCACGAGCTGCAGAAAATCTATTCAATGGAGATTTTAGTTTTTGGACCGTACTGTTTTGGACTGGTGCTCCTAGGAGAGGCAACAAGGGACTACGTTTTCTGTTACAGCAACATTGTCACATGCTTTTAAATTTTAAATTTGCTGTCCGCAAGACCCACTTCTGGAAGAAGTTGTCCCAATGTTTGAATCACCCTTCATCAAATGGACTGTAACCGCCTGAGACTGTATGTTGTGTGCACCGCGGGAGCCACCCGTGATAAAGCGGGGCGGCTGGTGTTTGACCCATGCAGCTTTTAATGGCCACCTAAGCTCCGAAAGTCCTTTTTATCTGACAAACCTCAGTAATTTTCCATCTATGGCCACGAGGCAAAGTGGCAACTTCACAATTTTTACCTCCTCCGGCCTCTTGACAGGCTGTTATTAGGAGTTTGAACTTCCTGAACTGGTGTTTTTACCCTTGTTAAGGTCCATCGTTCTTGGATGCCCTGTGCCACTTTTCACGCCATGCTCTGGCTTCAGTGCAGGGGGGACAATGTTGACTACAAAGGCATCTAGCTCTGAAGGCTGCGGCTTTATCCACTTGAATTTTCCCGTCACTTCGCTAAGCTTTTCTTGTTAACATCCAAGGTCCCTCTTTCAAATGTGTGGGTCGGAGTTCTATAAAGCTGCCACAAATTGAAATACTTGAAATTATGGTATGATATGGCTTAAAGTATGCGTGTGAAAGGATATAGGACTTCATAAAATCTGTGTGTACACGCACAATGTGATGACTAGGAGGATGAGAGCGGAGCTCAATCAGCAGGAGGTGGAACGGCAGCAAGTAGAAGAAAGCATGAACAAGCGCGACTGCGACATCAAAAGACTTTCAAAGGAAAACGGCAGCGCTCTCCATCGACAGAGTGCCGGAGAGGAGACAACAGGGGCACAGATGGAAGAAACTGGCGATGGGTGAGTTTGGAAAAGGGAAGTGTACTCTAGGTGGAAGCGTCAATCAGTCCATTTGTTCTCCGTTGTGTGTGCGTGCGTGCGTGCGCGCGCCCAAATAAAGTCCGGAAAATGTGGTCGACCTGAGGCTGGGAATCCCAGATCAGTGTTGCCCCATTCAACCATGTGAGCAGACAAACATTGCAGAGTACAGAACATCCTCTGTGCTGATCCCCAGGATCTTCCAAAATCCTTTAATCATCCCGAAGACCTCCACAGCAATCCCTCTTGTGGACGTTGTCAATGCTTTAGCGCTCCTGCTTTTCCCCTTCACCGACCTGCTGCAACACACAAAGCTCAGCCAAAGCCTCTGTTTACCGTCAGAAATCATTTAAAGTTGTACATTTGGTTTCTGCTCCCCCCCCCAGAGTGCTGAGTATTGTATGTAAATCCTCAAATCAATATGCGCAGATTCTATTTAATTTCACAGCTAGTAGAGTGGCTCTAATCTCATTCAGCAATTTGGGCTGTTTGCTTTTCAAATATAATGGATGTTTTTTTGTGAACTGGGAGTTTGGGGGTTACGCAGTCTTGTCTTTTGCTTGCAAACTGTTTAAAGTCTCCAGTGTCACACCACAACAAATAATATTAGCTTTTGCAAACAAAGAGCCTGGCAGCATGCATAAGCATTTTAAACACCGCTGTATTGTGCATACGGCCCTTCATATCATCCTTCTTCTGAAGGTAAAATATAAAATGTATTCTATTATTGTCTCTTCACTTGTCTGTTTTTTTTTTTTTTTTTTTTTTTAGCCAGATGAATATGCTGGTTGCAGAGACGGCTGAAGTGCCAAGCTGTCTCGCCTCCCCTGCAATAGAAAGGCACAGGATTACAGTATGTATTCTTGTTAAAAAAGTTCATAGAAATGATGACCTATTCAATAAGCCATGGGTAGTTTCTGCGTAGAATTAATCATTTTGAAAAAATGTAATCAAGCGAAGCTTCAAAGAGGAGACTTTGCTCTGGAGACTTTGCTCTGTAGTTTATCGATCAGCGATCGTTCCTCCTGCTTGTCCCTGCAAAACGAGCCCAATACGCTTTTGATGAGGCATTAAATACTTTTTCCCACGGCTTATTGTTTTATTATGTACATTTTCTTTACAACCCCTACACACTGTAATAGTTACTCATTTTGGGAAAGGATATTGCAATGATAGCACTTTTGAAGTATTTGTTTGTGTTGTGTTCTTGTTAGTCTTGAATACATAGACACAAAGACATTTTTTAAAGGGACCTGGAATAAATTAAGATAGTCCCTTCTAATCAATGGCAGTATTATTTAATAGTAAATTGCATAAAGTAAACTAGATTTCAGAATGACAAAGTTTTGTCTGCTGATCGTTTCTCCTCTTCTCACATAAAATAGGCCGTGCCTGGAAAATGTCCCGTCCCTCACACTAGATATGAGTTCGATGGTGGGACGTGCCCCAGAGATGGCCCGGAGCAGGAGAGGGACTTGTGTCATCAATCAGGGCCTGAGCTTTCCTCCACGACCACTGCGAGTGGAGCGGGAGTTGCAAGTTATAACGAAGAAGGGGTTCGGTCAGGGGATGGCAGCCTGCAGCCAGCGAGTGTCCTGGGCCCGGGTGATGGATGTGGCACAAAGCCAGAGGGGAAAGCTAACAAGATCAAAGGCAGCATGGCTGACTGCTACCAGGAGAGACCCGGCTCTGGTGGGAGCTCATTAGGCACCGTGTCCCACCTGCAGAGCGGCGCAGGAACTGGCTCCACGTTCGTCCTCCCACAGACAAGCACTCCTTCTCGGCTCCACAAAAAGCCTCTTAGCAGTCAGGCAGCATGCCGTCCCCCTGAGGAAACTTCTTTCAAGGGCCAGTTTGGTTGCGGAGAGATGGATGAAGCTGGAGGTTTGGAAGCGATCCCGGCAGCGTGCGGGACGGAGACTGCAGCAGCCACGGTTCAGCACTCGGGGCTGGGTTCTTTGGTCAGCAGAGTTTCTTTGATTTTCCAAGATGCCGGTCGTTTCCTGTGGAGCTCTCGCACAGTACTACAGCAGGTCAAGGAAGAGGGACTACAGCCTGTCGGGGCCCGCTGGTCCAGCCATGTCGTCTCTGTGGTCAGGGAAAGTTATGTTCTGTCTGCAGTGAAGGACAGCCGGGTCTTCTCCATGGTGAAAAGGAGCTTTGTCTTCTCTCTCTTTAAGGACAGTCCGATCATTTCCACGGTGAAAGATCTGTCTCTCATACAGCACATCCAGATGGAGTTAGCTAAAAAGATAATGCCTAAAGGGGCAGATCAGATGATTGACGGACACATTAATCCTGACAAGACACAAGTCCCGGTCCTGACCCCAGCGGAAATCTTTAGCAAGGCAGAAGGATTGCCAGAGGACATGCCACTAATGCCAGAAGATATCTGTACGAGGAATGCTGCAATCGGGGATCTGCGGTTAACACAAGAGCAAAACATGTCTTATATTGAAGTGCAGGAACTAATTACAGAGCTGTTGCCGGAAAAATGCAGTAAGCCAGAGGTTACCCACGCAGACGAGACACTGGAGAATCCGAGGACTGTGCAAAACGGAAACGGTGTCCAAATCTTTCGTCAAACGTTGATCAAATTTCCAGCTTCCCTTTTAAACTTGCAAACTTTACCATTTGTTGACATGATGGATGCTTTACGGTCCCTCATCCCCACCTCGGTGCTCACCTGCGAGAGGATTGTAGCGCTCTATTGGGTTAATGTGGCTGAATGCAGCCACCCCGAGCCCCGTCCCGCCCTCCTGATCCTGGCGCAGACCGGCCTCTACAGCCTGAGCGACGACTTTGGGCTCTTGCTTTTGTTCCATCACCTGCCCTTGTTCCAGCTGAAAGAGGTGCAGGTGGGCTTAGCAGGCCAGAGTCTGCGTTTGATGGGTGCCACGGAGGAGAGCATCCTGGGTGTCTACACCCACAGCCAGCAGCTGACCAAAGCGCTTTGCAGGGGCATACTTGCCGCCATCTTCCCCGGGGACAACGCGGTGCCTCGGCACCCACTGCTCCATGGAGACTTGGCGAAGTTGTCTTTTGAGTGGGAGGCCTGTGTACCGGACCTGCAGCTGGAGGCTGGATTAAGGGTTTACAGCCAGTTTCAGAAAAGTCTTGCTGATCTGGTTTATCTTCTTCATTGTAATATGGATCAGCAAGCCATCGCTCTGGGAGAGGTGCAGATCCTACTGTACACGGGTGTGAGGGTATGCATCAGCCCCGGCAGCCGCACAGAGTCTCTGGCTCAGCTTTTACTCACTGACACGTACCTCGGTCTGGTGCAGGACAACGCCGTCTTTCATCAGACTCTTCCCTCCGTCACAATTGCACCCTGCCGTCCCCAATTCCATGACTTAACTCTGCGTCAGTGCTCGGATGTGCGTTGCGTGCTGGTGCACGATGAGGACAAGCATGGAGCGGTCACTGTGGATGTAATCCTAGCACACGTGAGGGGCAGGGGTCCCCCTGAAAACCCGACTAAGGCAGCTACCGATTCATCTCATCATGCTGAAGTGTGGAAATTAACTTTCGGTTGCTCTTCTGAAGCGGCTTTCCTGATCAATCACTTGTCAAATGTCTGATCGAGGATTGAACATCCAGCAATGAACCGTCTCTCACACACAGTGATCCAAAGTGAATCATAACCAGAGAAAGAACAGCTTCACTGGTGAATCCCAGTAACAACCATGACCTATTTAAACGTTGTTTATTTCTCTAGATTTTGTGGTGTCCTTTTTTTAAATAATGCATGGCTTTAGTACTTTTACCTACCAACCCCTTGACTTTGTCTTTGTTCTTGTTTGTTTTGTTCATTGACTACACGCCTTGCATTATTTTTGTCAAAAAGGTTGTCTTTACCCCAGTTTATTATAGATTCTTTTTAATGTTTGAAGGTCTGACGTTGAGGATTAAAAACATGTTTGTAACAGTTTAGTTTCATGGGCAATTATATTTAATATTTTAGATTACTGATTATTATGATAAGTCCTTAAATGGTGTGTATATTCTTTCTGTCTTTCTACTGTGCGTGAAGTCTCCAATATTTTATATAAAAATAAATATATTTGGTAAAATGAAGTAAATCCTCTGTAGTTGCTTTCCCCCTAGTATGCAGATATATTCTAATTGTGGGGAATTTAACTTGGGAAAACATAACTCAGTTTGATTAATTCCATGCCTTTGTCTTATATTTTCTCTTCTCATCTCAGTCAAGCTTTCTTTCTCTTCCCCACTCACCTTTTTTATACTTTCAGCTTTCTCTCTGTGGTGCACTGCATGAATCTCTATTCTGCTCTTCTCAACTAATTTAAGAATAGAAGGATACGCTGCTGAATCTCCTGCACAGTTATTAACAAAAGCTCTATAGAATTATTCCCATCAGTCAACATTGTCTCTCTGCAAGACTAAACATGTTCATTGTAAGGAAGCTGCTTTAAATTCCAACAGGTTGATCATGCTGCATCACAGAGAAATATAACGTTTTGTGAGTTGGAGCTAATTGCTCTTTGTCTTGACTGAGTGGCCCCATCCAGCATGGGAAACTACAGGGGCAATGCAGTGCAATCAGTCCTCTTGTCTGCTCCAGTATGAGGGATGGAGGTTTGGGGAACCGCATCAAACATTGTATTGAGGTTTTTTCTCTTTTCCTCGAGACCGTTAATTACCATTCAAGCCATCTCCTGTGTATCATCCCTCCCTGCCAGTGAAACCCAAAAGGCAGACGAATCGTGGTCAGATCAATTGAAATAAGGCTAGTTTAATAACTGTAAGATGAGTTAAAGATTATTTCCTTTCATTCTGAAAGGAGAACCCACTGCAGTTATCTCATTCGTTCACACTGGTCCGTGTGTGGAATGGACCGGAGAGTTAAAGGGAGGTTCCCACTCCCATCGCAGATAAACCAGCGCACTGCCAGGCTTTGAACCTCTAATCATTACCGCGTGTGATTTCCCACCGGGTTGTCCGGCTCTAATGCGCAGTCATTGACAGCACACAACAGGATAATTTGTTTACCTCCTCCATCGGAAGCATGTGAACGTGACCCAGTCAGTTCTCATTGCCAAGCTGAAGGATTCCTCACATCAAGCCGGGTCATTCTGCCGTACTGCTGCGGCGTCCTGTCTATCATCAAAGCCGTTTTAGACTCATTTAAAACCAACCTTTTCGTTCTTCCTGTTTTGTTTCGTTCTTTCTGGGTTCCCATGTTTTTTAAGCAGTAAAGACTATTCTTTACTGCTTAAAAAACATGGGCATCCATTAAAAATAGACAAGCTCTCAGACTAGCTGGTTTCCTTATTGAACAGAATAGCTTTTGGTAGAGAGATTAGCAAACAACTTTTATGTTTGAGAATTTGATCTGTGCCCTGAACCTTCAAAGTAGCTATTTTGTTCAAATTCACTTCAATTTGAAAAATGGCGAATTACCACCTGAATAAATTGAAAAGACTATTTTCCTCAACGCAGACACACAATGGTTTGCCATTTGTAGATTATACAGCCACTATTAGATTTGTTAATCTGCTGTATACAAGCTTCACTTGCTAATTGTTCACAACGTTGTCAGTCATTTGGTTCCTACTGAGTCCATATGGCACATTAGGGCAGATCCTCCTCCGGTCCTTTTTGGTTGTCACTATTGCCTCTTTCGGGACTTCTGCCGTGAACTTCTGTTCAGTCAGGCCCATATTTAGATCCTATCTATGCAGAGAAGTGGTGACTGAAACATTGCTGCTGATTATGAAAGACTGCGTGATGGAAAGCAGCAGGGGTTTGGTCATTAGATAAAAACCAAGTCCCGCTCCCTTTTAAGGCCGTGTGTCAAGGACACTCTTTCAAGTTCAATTCAGTCTGAGTCGATGTCTTTTTTAAATGTCCCGTATCTGTATCCCCACTGTTTTTAATTAATTACCCTCAAAAGAAGTAGAACGTAATTAACGTCACTGCTATACTAAAATCTAATGGAGGCAAGTGTTTGACAGCACTGGCACGCTTTATTCCGGCCCCCGATGGAACGCGTTTGCGGCGAGTCTCGGAGGAGACGGACACAATGGCGACCTGAATGTCACTGGCATCTTTTGAGCGGCTCTCATTTGTGAATATCTGTCCACGGGCTGTAGAAGACTCTCCGGCCTCTAGAAGGACGAGTTTGTCACACCGTGCCATTTTTTAAATTGGACTCCGTCTCTCCCTGCCCACCCCGGCTCTGTTTTGGACCGCACGAGAGCTTCATTAGCATTTGCAGGGACGACGAGACATTTACCACCATGGATTGTGACAGATTTCACAAGCTCATTTCACTGTTGCCCCGGGGGGGGGGGGGCAGTTCTCACCATCTGTTGACTCTAACTGACTGTACCCGGCACGTCTATAAGCAGCCGCCCTATGAACAAATCTGCTCTTTACACAAAAAATGAATGAAATAAGGATTTGCGTTAAAACGTTTTTTTATTTATTTATTTTTACATTTATGTTAACAGCGCGAGTATCAACTTTTAATCTTCTAAAAGCTCACTGGCTTGGATTGTCTGAACTTTGTTGTGCGAGTCTCCATTTCAAGTTGGACGTTAGAACTTTTAATTGGCAGGAGAGTGAACACATTTTGATTTTAATGAGGTTTTTTTTATGAAATGACTTATCAGCGTGTATGAGGGCAATGCTGTTGCTGTTATACAGTAGACAAAAACATTTGCAATTCCAAACTTAGCAGTCATTGCACTGATTGGGAATGGAGTCTCTATGCAGCCAGTGGGGGTTAACTTTTACATGTACATTTAGTTGAATTCTGATGAAATAAGCCAAGCTGTAAAAATATTTAAAGATGGAGCTTAAGAAGTTATCAATGAAATTAATGAGTTGAGAAATGCGTGATAAGAAAGCTACATTATTCATGTACAGGTCTTATTCACCTCATTTGGTTTAAAGGATTGGTATTGACACTCAAGCTCACTGCTAATCACCTTTCAACATGCCTGTGCTTTGTGTAATTTTATTCTCATGAGCAGCTCATCTACCGCCACATGCAGCCCAGTTCACATGTGTGCTGTTGGCACTGCAGCCCTTTGAGACCTGAGCCATCTGATTGTGTTTTAATAAAAGAAGATGAGGGGTCTCTGTTCAGTACGTTGCACACAAGTGTAGCTGCTCGGAGTGGACTTGTTACATGATTTTCTGAAGGTGCCCATTAAAGTTGGAGAGCGAGCGATGGAACTTCAAATATTCACGACTAGTACTTAACCGTAAAAGCTTTCCACATGTTCCACAAAATATAAATGTCTAGAAGAGTTGCAGACGAGATACTCCATACTTGGTTTAAGAAACAATCAGAAAATGCTTTTGTGGTGCTCGTTTTTAAAAAATCTCTTTGTAGGATGTTCCGTTGTTGTTGTTACCAGCTGAAATTTGTGAAAGTGAAGCTCGGTCCACCGAGGTGTGGAGTCAAAAAGCTACTGTGCTAAATAAGGTTAAGGGCCAGCGGGTGATGACAAAGGATGATAGTCAGATTGTGAAGCTACTTTACGTACCTCATGTTAGCATGGTGCATTTTCTATTTTGGTGGAAGCTTGGTTTCAACTTCTCACTTCACTATGAACCAAATGATTATGCCGTCGCTCTGCTAATGCTGATTCAATGGAGGCTGAGGTCAGTGGAACGCCATTAAATCAGATTAGTGCAAAAATGTCTGTTCTCAGGTTCCCTTGTTACTTTAGATGTGAACACAGGACTGTTTCACATGTATGAGCAGGCCACAATGGGTGGAGAATGCTCTTTCTTGTTACTGCTCTTTACCGTCACGTTTAGCTGATTTCACATCGTGCATAAGTGAGTCACTCATTTGACTTCAAACTACAGATCGGATTCATTCAATTGGAATAAAAGGAACTATCCACTTTGTAAAAGGTGTAAATGGTGCTGAAACTATCATGCGTTGTTGTATATTCCGATGTGTGACACAAGGTACTTGATCCAACAGCATTTTAAGAAGTATTGTTCATCACCAAGCGGGCATCCTGTTTCAACAACAACAACAACACAGAAAAATCTAATTTCTATCACGGCTTGTAGAGGCCAGATGTTAAAACAAATAATGAAGCCATATATCCAGAATAGAGATGAGTAAGCTACTTAATTAGAAATCTGACAGAAATTGAAGTAATGTATCACAAAAGCACTTTACTGTGATAATAGTAGTATTAATAATAGTAGTTTGTCATTTAGGTGGAGAGCATGCCTGATGCAGATTGTTTGCCTGTCATGTCCTCCATCGCTGAGCAGTTATACCAGTAGAACATTTTGTACCAGAGCAGAAAAAAAAACAAACATCTTGTGAAAGGCTGATATTCCACAACCCAAATAATCATTCATTTTACTTTTATGTGGGGGGGGGGGGGGGGGGTCGTTGACGGAAGGACTCGGTCCAGACTGCTGATGCTAGCGATGTTGAGCTGCGTCTCCACACCTCCTACTTCCAGGCTTCCAGCATAGTGCGATTAATCAAGCTCCAGAAGTTAAGTGTTTCTGGAGGCATTCCTGTGTTATAAATTGCTTGGAAAATGCATAATTAGTTAGCAACAAATCTATTTTACAGTCGTGCTGCATTCAGTTGGGGATGCATTTTGTTCCAATTGCTTTTGTGCAGTGATAATAATCACTGCTTTGGACCAGAAGCAGTGCTTGCTCACCTGGTGCAAGTGGCAGTAATGACACACACCTGATCGTCGAGCTCCTCTTTGCTCTCTCGCTCCTCGTCTGCTGACAACTGTATATCATGAGGAACTTTGTACTCTGTGGATCCCACTCCACGGGCGTGTGTCACAAAGCCAGACTTGACTGACTCGCAGCCAACAAAAGCAATTTTCACCAGGTCACGCAGATACATACAAAGTGTAAGTTTCTTGATAACCTTCTGATTCGTTTCAGAACTTGACAGTCTGTGCACGCCTTTGCTTCTCACAGCTCTGTGTTCCATATTTCATCTCAGATGCACAATCTGCTTTACGCTTTAAAATCAGGAAACAAGAAGTACCCGCTCATTAAGTCCCTTCTTGGCACCTTAACCCAACCGGGGACCATTTCCATGT